TGGTTTGAAAAAAAAAAACAAAGATAAAACAAAGATTTTGACAAAGAATATGCTACTAAGACAAAGAGAAGAACTGGCAGACCTATTGAAAATTCAAGTTACGAATAAGGTTAAGTATTTGGGGATACATTTGACACCAAGATGTAGTACATTAAAAGAGAACAACTACATTAAACTTAAACAACAGATAGCGTTAGATTTGATAAAATGGGAAAACTTACAATTGTCATTGATAGGTAGAATCTCAACAATCAAGATGAATATCCTACCCAGAATCTTATACTTGTTTCAAACAATAGCAATTAGCCTTGAGAAAGACTATTTTGAAGATTTAAATAAAATTGTGTTGAAGTATTTATGGCAAGGCAAGAAAGCAAGAATAAAGTTAAAACTTTTATAAGATGCCAGAATTAGAGGAGGATTTGGTTTGCCTAACTGGGAATTGTACTATCAAGCTGCAAATCTGATGTGGGCTAAGGAATGGATAACATTAAGAAAGACTAGATTGTTGACACTAGAAGGACATGATTTGTTGTTGGGCTGGCATGCTTTTCTATGGTATAAGGGAACTAAAACACAGGGCTATTTTAGAAGACATCATATACAGGAGTCTTTGTGATTAAATTGAGAGAAGATTAAAAAACAATGTTATTTGAAAATTCCAGTCTGGTTATCAACTATTGAAGCCTTTTCTTATCCTATAATATATGAGAAGGAACAAACTGTTAGATATGGGGAAATATTGGATGAAAAGGGTGAACTTAAATCGATGCAAAATTTAGAGGAACAAGGTATAAAGATGAATTGGTTTTCATATGCGCAAATACATTCAAGGTATGATGAAGATTTTAAAACAGAAGGATTCTATGATAAATTGACTGATCTAGATAATGGTTATATGGTTATTTATTGGAAATTAAACTAGAGGAAGAACAAGTTAAAGAAAATATGATTACTTGGGGGAAGAATTTTGAATATGGGATTGATTTAGAGAAATGGCAAAAATTGTGGTCTCAAAATTATAAAATGACAACGTCAACAGCATATAAAAAAAAATTGTATAAGATGTTTTACAGGTGGCACTTTCCACTGACAAGAATAGCAAGAATGTTCAAGAATAAATCTGAAAAATGTTGGAAATGTCATCAGATACCTGGCTCATATTACCATATGTGGTAGACTTGTGAGGATGCTAGAAAATATTGGACTAAAATTCGCATGTGGTTGGAAAAAATGATAAAGAAACACATAGACTTGAAACCAGAGATTTTTTTTATTGGGAATTTTACCTGATACATATAGTAAAGATTTGAAATACCTGATTGTAAATGTATTAACAGCGGCTAGGATTGTATTTGCTAAAAATTGGAAAAATGAGAAAATACCATTGCAGGAGGAAATCATCAAGAAAATCTTGGAATGTGCTGAAATGAGTAGATTGACATTTGAAATTAGAGAACAAGAGGATAAACAATTTTATAAAATTTGGGACCTTTTCTATCAATGGTTAGATAATAAAACACAATAATAGAATATTTAGAATTTCAGAAAATAATGAATATATAAAGATATATTTCTTTTTTTGATATCATATTTATAAAATGTTTTTAGGATAGATTTGGTAGGATTATATGAATTGTTATAAAATAAACTAAGTAAATTATAGTTCTCTTGCAAAGTATGAATGAATAAAATTATAATCAAATGATGGTTTAATAGTGATACTAGGGTATTTAATCTTTGATTGATAATATGAGTTATCATGCAATGTAATTGTAATTGAGACTATGAAATGGATGCACAAAAAATTGGTAAACCAACAGACACACTGCTTGTATATTTATGAAAGAAAGATGGATGTTTTTATGTTTTGTTTGTTTTTGTTCATCTTTAAAAACTAATAAAATTGTTTTAAAAAAAACAACTCCCCCCACCAAAAAAAAAACAAAAAAAACAAAAACCAGATTACCCATAACAATAAGGAAACTTCAATCCAAAAAGAGATCACTCTGGTGGAAAAACAAATCCAGTCACGTTGCCAACTTCAAAAGCTGATACAAAAATTTATGCCACCAGATAAAGACTGAATGCACCAATTATCACATTAAACAAGCAGAAAACCTTCTACGCACCGATTCCACCTGCACTTTTTACAATTTTGTAAACAACAAACAAACAACAAACAAGGCTCAAGGTCCATCCCACCCCTGATAGGACCTAATGGTAAAGACTGCAACAATGACACCATTAAAGCCAACATCTTTAACACATTCTTTGGCTCAGTATTTGTAAACAGCAATGGATCATGCCCAGAATTTCCTAGCTGAACCACAGAAAACTACAATGATTTAATACATATCAATTTTACCAAAGACAACGTTGAAAAGGCACTATGCAATCTAAAACCATCTCTATCTATTGGACCGGATGGAATATGTGCCTACTTCTTAAAACAGCTATCCACTGCTATAGCAGAACCTCTAAGCATAATCTTTGAAAAATCTTTCAGGAGCAGCTCCTTCTCTAACCTATGGTCACAAACCATGATCATCCCCATCTTCAAAAAGGGAGACCTAAGCCTAGTTGAAAATTACAGACCAATCTCCTTATGCTGCATCACCTGTAAAGTCATGGAATCACTTATTAACCAATCCATTATCCTCCACTTAGAGACAAACAATCTACTCTCTAACAAACAGTTTGGTTTCAGAAAGGACAAAATTGCTCTTGATTCAAATTATCTGATTTGGGGGCTCTTTCTTTCTTCACTGGCAATTTAAGAAAGCATTAGACAAAACAAATACCAAGCAGATTGGCTATCACAATATATTCTTTGATCCTCTACTTGTGAGGCTTTAGCAGAATTTTAGTTGTCTTATAGAATTCCTCCAACATAAATATCTTGCATGTATTGGATTATGGAGCAAGTGCCACTTATTCAAATATGAGAGAATCTCTCAGCCATGGAATTGATTGGTGGCCAAAACATACTAGCACAAAATCCACAAGCACTGCACATTTATGGTAAAAACAACAAATAAGTGCAAAATCCCGAGAACCCAATTTATGGCTGCAGTTTTCTTACTTATCCTATGTTAGTTGGGAACACTTCAACTATTTTTGAGGAATGGACCTCCGTATGGAATGATGCATTGAAAGTTTATGTCTATTCTAGTATTTGCCCTTGGTATTTCCTACAGATGCATCTTGATTGCCACTGGACGATTGACCTGTTAATATAATCATAATATTTGTGATAGTTAGAGAGATGGTAACTTTGCTAGTTGAAATGCTAAATAAACATGTTTATGAAATGCCTTTTTTGAGATTGAGTAACTATGGTTGAAGTCTATACTTTGGCAAAGTCACCTTTTCCATGATCTACATAAAAGATGTGTGGCCATATACATTCTCTTAATATGTCAACCAAACACACAAACACATGTGAATTTTGACAAATATACATGTCCAAGGTTAAAGTTGCAAGATCCAATCTGGGTTGGTCACCAGGGTCATAGGTTTAATCTTCTGAGCTTTTGGACTTGTGATAGATGTTAAGTTGTTGGCTGGTGTTTCCTTGTCAGGTTGTCAGCTCCTAAGTACCTGATAAGTTGGGAGTAAATCAGCACTTCTTTTGAAACGGGTCTGTTTCCCAGGCTTGAATAATTTCCCTGGCTATTTTTGTACCTGCTCAGCCAACAATCTTAATAGCTTCAAAAATGAATGTATGTCCTTGTTCACTGCAATTTAGAGCTGAGAACTTGACAACACAAGGAAACATTAGCCAACAACTTAATAGCTGGCCATGAACATCCTATTAAAAACTAGCAATGAACACCCCACCAGGTACCACATAAATATTATTATGTTGTCCCTCAAATAAGACCAGGTCTTATATTATTTTTTGCTACCAAAGACACATTAGGGCTTATTTTCAGGTGATTTCCTGTTAGATAATCAGCCCTCAGCATTGTGGTTGCCCTGCAGGGTAAAGGTGGGCATGGTCACAGATCGACATTGCTCAGATCAGGGGGTGTCTGTGGGAGCCCAGGCAGGGTCGAGTGGGAAGAAAAGACATAGTTGCCTCTTGGGGACTGGTGCTCCTGCCTTCCCATTCACTGGAGCTCTCATGGGTATGGCTGTGGGCAGGATGCTCACCCCACATCTGCAGTGGAGCTGGGGGGACAACGTTAGAAGTCAGGTGCCAAGGTTGCAGGGGCTGCAGCTTGGTGCCACTCCTACACTGCCATCTGTTTTGCATCAACTCACAGCACCACCACCAGCAGTGGCACAGCTGCAGGAAGAGGCAGAGGCATGAGGAGGAGGCACATGATCTGCCCCATTAGACATGCTAACCAGTCGCCCTCCCACTCTGTCCAGCCACCTGTCTTTGATTGCCCACAGCTGCGCCAGGGCAGGCATCCACACAGCACAATCCAGTGGGATGAATCATCTGCCTCTCTGAGGCAAGACATGTTGCTAGGCAAGTCAGGTTGTGGGGTAGTGCCATGCCGTGGCCCCTGCATGCTTGGTTAAAGCCATCCAACCTTGTTCTCTAGCTACTCCGGACACAAGGGATTAGCCTCCCACCTGCCACCCCAACTGCCAGGAGCCCTACCTTTCCCTAAGAGAAGAATGGGGAGGCTCAATCCCCAAGAGGCAGCCAGGACACCCCTCCCTGGTCCATCCCACAGGCCCTAATTGGCAACTCCTAATGTGAGTAACATCAAGCTGAACATGACACCTCCCTCCAGGGCAACCGCAATGTTGATGGCTGACAATCTTAACTGAGGCTTGTTTTTGGTGTAGGGCTTATATCATGAAGGAACCTGAATAATCATGCTAGGACTTATTTTCTGGTTGGGTCTTATTTTCAGGGAAACACAGTTATTTCTGTTTTTGGAGGTGGCTGTATGTACAGATCCAGTTAATTATTAGATAGATAATAAGATCTAACAAGAAATTGCTTGCTCAAAATTAGATCTTGTCCTTTTATTTTTCTATTTCTTATGTATTGAATGGTCTTTAGTGTTGAGCTCAGGCCTCCATATAATTATATAGATTTTGGGGATGAAGATGCATCCCAGTAAACCAGCACTGGAAGACAGGATAGAAAAGATCTCCACAGCCACCATGTATTTTCCTTTGGTGCTCAGGTACGTGGGGACAAAGGTCAGCCAAACGCTGCAGAAAACCAACATGCTGAAAGTAATGAACTTGGCTTCGTTGAAACTGTCTGGCAACTTCCTGGCTAGGAAGGCCACAATGAAGCTGAGGAGGGCCAAGAAGCCCATGTAGCCCAAGACACAGTAAAACATGGTGATGGAGCCTTCATGACATTCAGCTATGATTTCTCCCAAGAGTGTCTCCATGTCCAAATGTGGAAATGGGGGAGATGTATTCAGCCAAACAACACAAATAGCTACTTGAATGAAGGAGCAGAACCAGATAATAGAATAGGCCAACTTTTGGCCTACCCATTTGTGGAATAAGCTTCCTGGCTTTGATGCTAGAAATGCTACAATGACTGTGATGGTTTTGGCCAAAATAGAAGAAATAGCAATAGTAAAGATGATGCCAAATGTTGTTTGTCGGAGGAGGCAAGTGGCCTTATTGGGATGTCCAATGAACAGAAGTGAGCAAAGGAAGCAGAGGAACAAAGAGATAAGTTGAAGGTAGGTGAGGTTGCGATTGTTGGCTTTGACAATGGGAGTGTCCCGTTGCTTAATGAAGATTGTAAATACTAAAGCTGTAAAGAAGGAAAAGAGAAGAGCCAGAGAAACCAGAGTAATGCTCAGTGGTTCTTCAAAGGAGAGGAAATTCTTTGTTTTTAGAATGCAGTCATCATGAGCTTGGTTTGGAAACTGATCCTCTGGACAACGGTCACAATACTTCATGTCTGAAAAGAAGAAAATAATTTCTGAACAGAATCAAACTTTTCCTAAGTTTCAGGATTGCTTTTCTAGACTTCCTTGCAAATAAGAAATTTTATAAACCCTTTTGTAACTCTCTATTCAACCTACATGTAAAAAAAGAATACAGAAGTGAAAAAGTATTTAGATTTTCCTATATTACAATCCTTTTGGCCTATTGGAGTACACTACATTTAGTAGCACTTCTGAGCAAGGGAATCGCATGCCTTATTTTCTAAATATCTGTCATCTAGTGGAAAAGAGAAAGGAGAAGCTTTAGATCCTGGAAAACAGGCAGTAGCACTAGAACAGAGGTGTCGAACTCACATCATCACAGTGACATCAAGTGATGCATCATGACTTATTAACCCTTTGCTAAGTTGGGCATGGGAGTGGCCAGCACATGACCTATCTGGCCCACGGGCTGCGAGTTTGACAGCCCTGCACTAGAGAAGAGGAGAACAAGAAGTGTGCTATTAATGCATCCTTGCTTCATTGGAAGTGCCACATTATTTGAGTTAGATTCAAGTAGTATAAAGAGCTGGGCTTCAGGACCGCTCTTCTTTTTCCTGCCTTGAGATGCAACAGTAAAGTTTGCAATAATTTTGAATAATTATTGAAATAATATTGAAGAGATTCTGTTTAATTAGGCTGCAGACCTTTCAGACAAAGTTCCATTGGGATGTTATGAATCTTACCCATTTGTCTGGATATCATCTTTTCTGGACACGGAGCACAAGCATAGCAGCAAAATTTCTGCCCTTCAATCTTGTTCTTCATTTTTCCAAGAGGACAAGGATCATTACATAATGAGACAGGAGGCAGCTATCCCCCCCCCCCAAAAAAAGAGGTCAGAATTAAGATTTTGTTTTTGCATCCAGCGAATGAATATGAATGAGAAATTTGAGAGCCAGCCATCTCATGAAGCAGACTCAGATGGTTTAACTGTAATTTATTAGTTTAACCAAGGGGGTGGGATTCAAATTTCTTAACAACCGGCTCCGTGGGCATGGCCTAATTTGTAGGTGTGGCTTAGTGGTCATGTGACTGAGTGGACATGACTTGCTGACTGGGCATGGCTTGGTGATCACGTGACTGGCTGGGCATGGCTTGTGTGTAAATATGGTAAATATTTACGTAAATATTGAATATTTTTATATAAAAAAGAGCAACTTTTACCCAAAATTAGGCAAAGCAGGCAGGAAGAATGAATTGCTTGCAGAATCACAGATTCACTCACAGATCTACCTTTCTGCAATCTGCTGCCTGAGTCTGCACTGAAAAATAGAAGCTTCAGTCCTCAAGAAGGTTCAGCTCTGCTCTCAGGATATTTCTCCTCCCTTCAACCTCCTGAATACCGCCCCTGATCGGGCCTCAGGGAAGCTTCCTGGGTGAAGGAAAAGCAGTACAACAGTGATTTCAATTAGCTAGAAAGCAGGAAATCTGATGATTTCCTGCTTTCTAGCTAATCCAAATCACGTGGCAAAGCTGATAGTTGGAACAGCTGATCGTTCGGAAAAAATGAAAAATAGCAACTTAGCAAAAATTAGGCAAAGGCACAATGCAGACAAGTTGATTGGTGCACATGCAAGATAAGGAGTGACTGGGTGGAGTGGGATGGGGTGAGACAGTGGTGCAATTTGCTGGTTCTCTGAACTGCACAAAATCATAGCAACTGGTTCTATAGAACCAGTCCATACTGGTAGAATCCCACTTCTGAGTTTAACTGAAGATTAATTAATGAATTACAGCCCAGATTTATATCCAGAGTTTGATTATTTCCAATATTCTTCCACATTCAAGTTGCTGATTACCATCTATAAAGTCCTACAGGGCACAGGACCTAGTTACACGATGCCCAGCCTGTCATCCATCATATCTGCATGGCTGGTGCAATCTGGCAGGGTAGTGCAACGGTTCTTGGAACTGTTGAAAGGACTGTGTTGTAACAACAGTTCCAAGAGGCTCCTCATCCATCTGCACTACTCAGGTGACACTAATGACATAGAAAAACCTCCAGGTGGCCTCAACAACTCTCTAAAATAATGCGAATGACCAGCTGTCTGCAAGCAGTATAAATCCTTCCATTCACATCATCCAGTCAGAAATGTAGCAGCTTTTTGGATAAGAATCAAAATATCTTCCAAAAACCCCAAGAAAGTCCAGTTGCCTCTTGAAAAACCACTTTTGGGACAGATACGACCTGGATGACTGAGAATCTCCATAGGCAACAAGTTTGGGAATTTTTTTTTCATAGATATTAACCAGATTGAGAATTCCTTAAGAAAAACAGATTTGATAGACATTCCAGAGAAGAAAAAGGTTTTATTTGATGAGGATAACCTGGGAGGAATGACTTAAATGTGATGAGTCAATTAGAGTTAGGAAGGATCTTTGTAACTCTGATATATGTAATTGAAAGAAAACCACAATGTAGGTTTTTTGTTATAAAGTGGCTCTGAATTTTTTTTTCTCAAATGCAATGCTCAAGTAATTCCAAGAGTTTATAAAATATTATTGAAATTGAATTTGGAAGTATGAGTGCTAGGAGGAAATAAAAAGATGTATTTCATCTATTGATTTTAGAAATATTTTTATGAACATATTATTAATAATACTTTTTTAAAAAAAGGCTGGAGTTTTAAAATAAATGTTAATAAAAAGGTTTTCCCCTTTAAGGTTAAAGAACTGGAGAGAGCACAGTAAATTTTGTTAATATAAATGAAAATAGTTTATAAAGATTGACAAGTACAAACAGAAATATGTATTATTTCCCAAGGAAAAAGAAATAAAGTAGAAATGATTAAATTAACTGTTTTATTCAAAGAAAAGAATATATCTAATTTTGTTTGTCTTTGCAAATTATTTCTGGATTTTGTGCTTTTGGTGGAAAAAATGTAACTTTGATTTTGGTTTTGCTGATTAGGTTGGTTTGTTGTAAAAATGTCTAGTGTATATTGTGTAAAAGTAAAAGTTGAGGTTATAATATTATTATCTTCTACTGTGCTAAAAAGAGTCAGAAATCAACACATTTTTCCCCTTTCTATCCTACATTTATTCTTTTTCCCTTTTCTTCCCTTAATTTCCCATTATTTTCATTTTCTTTGTATTTTATATTCTGATGAATTAATAAAAATAAATAAATAAGAGGACATAATCAATAGATGGATAACAATGCAAAATCCAGTGTAAACATCTGGCTAACTGACAATCAATTTACTGACACTGCAAAGAATCTATAACTTTGAAGATTTGAACAGAGCTGAGAGTTTGAGGTTGTTGTTTATTTAGAAGAATTGAAGACTTTGCCTCTGGCAGCATTACTTATATCATTGAACTGTGACTACATAGGATTTACTTGTTGAGAATGAAGGTTTAGATATCAATATTTCCTCCAATTGGAGAGACAAACATCTGGGCATGGAACTGTATTTCTCCCATTCGTTGAGAGCAAATTTCCTTACAAGGTCAGAAATTCTAAAGAATTAGATTATCCATCATTAAACAGTCCAATACTTTTGTTTTTTGGACATCTTTGACAAAGATTGGGTTGCAATGTAATTGGATCCTAGGAGCGAGTTGCTATATATGGACTAAAGAAAAGGCTAGTCACATGAAAAGTCACTGTATATGAAATTGGTTCTTTTAGTCGATGTTATGGTACCTGAGTGAATTCATGATGCCACTGGATTTTGTCTGGATGTATGCGGAAGGTTTTTCCTGGAAGAGCTCGCGGATCTATTTCTCCAACTGGGATGTTGATATAGGAGTTGTTTGGGAAAGTAACCAAATTTACAATGTCAAATCCAGCCTCTAGGACTCCTTCTTCATTCAATTTAATTTCATCTCCAGCATTATTGTTGAAGGACATTCTCTGCAGAAATGAGTGAAGCTTACAGAAGATAAAGGATAAGGATGAAAGAGAAACAGATATGTTTCTAACAACAATTCCCCAAAGCACTCCCTTTTAAGTTTTCGGTGCTTCTTTCCCAGCAATAAAAAAATATGGAAGACTGAAACAGTCTAGTTGTCAACTTGTAAAACATTCATGACTTTGGTTCACAGCTAAACATAAGCAGCTTCATCGTTCCGAAGAGGAAGCCTACAGAAAAGGTGACAGAATACTATACAATCAGGCCAGAAACATATTAGCAAGAGAGATCACAGCAGCAAAAAAAACCTACACTGAAAAGTTAAGGAATCAGTTCTCAACAAATGAAGCAGGAAACATGTGGAAAACTCTTAAAAACATCACTGGCTACAGCAAATCTCCTTCCCAGGCAGAAGGAAACCAACAACTAGCAGATGACCTGAATGTGTTTTACTACAGGTTTGAAAGGAAACTACAGCCACCTGTCTTCACAACACCCATCTCAAATACAGCAACAACAGCAAAGCCTTCTGTAACTGGCCCCAACCCATTGGGTTCACAACCTCTGGTGATCACAGAAAAAGAACCGCAAGATCTATTTCACAGAAACAAGCCAGGAAAAGCACCAGGGCCAGACAAATCTCAACAAATAAATGCTCTGTCTTACATATTTGCAAAAAAAAAAAGAGAGAGAAAATAAAATACAAGCTGAATAGTCAAGACCTTGTTGATGATCCAAGCTCAGTAAAGGACCTTGGAATACTCATCTCAAATGATCTAAGTGCTAGAGCCCACTGTAACCACATAGCCAAAAAGGCATTAAGAGTTGTTAACCTAATCTTATGTAGCTTTTTCTCTAGTAATATCACACTAGAGCATACAAAACATTTGCTAGACCAATACTCGAATACATCTCATCAGTCTGGAATCCACATTACGTATCTGATATTAGCACAGTTGAGAAAATCCTGAACTTCCTCTACTTGTAGAATACCTTATGCCACCAGACTTGAAATTCTAGACTTAGAAAACCTTGAATTACGCCGTCTTCATTCTGATCTAAGTATGGTATATAAAATCATACATCACAATGACTTACCTGTCAATGAATACTTCAGCTTCAACCATAACAACACAAGAGCACACAATAGATACAAACTCAAGGTTAACCACACCAACAGAGTGGTCAATGTCTGGAATACTCTACCTGACTCTATGGTTTCTTCCTGAAACCCCAAAAACTTTAACCTTAGACTGTCTACTATTGATCTCACTCCTTTCCTAAGATGTCTGTAGGGGGCATGCATAAGCACACCAACTACTGTCCCTGTCCTATTGTTTCTTTTATTTTTCTTATATGTACCCATTTCATGTTCATAACTATATATATACTTATACCTATTATCTTGTAAGTGATTGACAAATCAAATAAATAAATACATAAAAATAAATAATATAACTCCTTCTTACTTAAAAGTCGGTGCTACCTATTGGCCCCCAATTGGCTTTTATCCTTACAATATATATATATATATGTATACATGTATGTGTATGTGTGTGTGTGTATATATATATTTATATATATGTTTTCTTAAGTTTTCGCGGGTACTTACATGTATGGCATTCGGCTTTGCTCGGGTTTTTTCCCACGTCATAATAGCTGTGCTTTTAAAGTTGTAGCGACGTTTCAGCAGAATCTCATCTTCCACCATCAGGCTTCTGTATAGTGTTCATCTGTGAGTTAGGCTTTTATAGTGGTTTCAGATTTAAATTTGGGGCAGCCTATTGCTGTGCCAGAATGGTTTTTTCTTCACCCTGATTGGTTAGGAGTCTTGGTCTGTGTTTATTGGTCTTGGAGTTTGCTGTGTTCTCCTTGATTGGTGTTTCTAATATCTCCTGTCTGTTTTTTGGCTCTTTTTGTCTCTTGATTGGCTGGCAACAT